GGTCCCCGTGCCCGGCCCCCACGCACCTCGATGCCGCTGATCTGCTGGAGGATCTGGCACTGCTGCCCGTCGCTGCCGGCGGCGCCACGGAGCTTCTCCAGCATGGCTGAGAGCAGCCCACCCGCCATGCTGGTGCAGAAGGCATCCGAGCCATTGATGAACTCCCTGGAGAGAGGAAAGAGTTGGGGGGACAGGCCCAAATCCTTCACCCCTCCCCTCCACAACCCCCCCATGCTGGCTTTGGGGAGGAAGGGGACGTCCTGGTGCACTACCTGGCTGGATTTCTAGGGGAAAGATGCCACGTCAACAAGGGCCAACTGCACCCTGAGCGAGACGAGGGGTTTCCCCAGAGAAGTCGTGACCTCCCAAAAACCTTTCCCACGTGTACACACGCCCACCCCCAGCACGCCCCATCCCTGCAGCGGGACCCCCACCGCTGCGTCTCGGCCCCCCAGCTGCGTGCCGTGGGTCCCGGAGCCACGTGCCAAGGACCAGCCCCCTCAAAGGGGCCACAAAGAGGTGTTGGCACTGCTCCTCTGGCTGGAGGGCCACGGCAGCGGGCACGGCCGCAGCCCCGTGAGGCTGGAGTTCATGCCAGGAGGGCTTTCCTGCTTGCCTGCGTCCACACCACATAAAGGAGAAGCTTCTTGGAAAGGCCGGGTGAGCCCGGAACGGGGGCAATCACTCATTGCTGTTACTGTTTCGTAGGCACAAAAAGGGGACACTGGCCAGGCTGAGGCTGTGCCTAGGGCTGCTGCCTCTACAAACACAGAGTCGCAGCAGCTCAGACCCCACGGGACCCCACAGACCCAGGTGCTGCACCCCCTGGGAGCAGGAGCTTCAGAGGAGCTCCATGCACATCCAGTTTGGGGTCCCCAGGCTGCGCTGCCCCTGCCCTGGCCCTGCCTGCACCCCCATCTCCCTCAGCCCAACGCAGAGGTCCTGCCTCCAGCCCCATCACCCAGATGTCCCATGGAGACCCCCACCTCCAGCAGGGCTGTGGATGGGCCCCATCACCACCACCCACCTCTGCCCACAGACCTGATGGTCGGGTGCTGCCCAGACTGGACCACCCCCCGGCTCAGCTCATCCCCAGACGCTGCCCCATCCACTCATGGGTGTGTGGGGGGAGCAAGTTTGGGGCTGGGCAGAGCCCACGGGCACTCACCAGGGCTGGCTCTCCAGCCAGTCGGCCAGGAGACAGCGCAGGCTGCGGGGAAACTCCGTGAAGAGGCCACTGAACTCCTCCGGCGGCATGTGGGAGACAATGCTCCAGAGGGACATCTTGGGAACAGTCTCCTGCAGGGAAAAGAGGAGAGGGGAGGTGAGGGGGGAGCAGGGCTGCAGCCCCCCAGCCCAGCTCCGGGGGCGAGCACCGACGGCTCCTCCGGGAGGACGGGCGAGAGCTGCTGCCCCGTTCCTCGTCCTTCAGCCTCTGAACCTGCTCCTCGGGAGGAGGAGGAGGAGCAGGAAGCCTGATCCAGGATGGGCCTCTTGGGCAATCCTGGGCAGACAGGCAGCCTACTCGTGCCTCAGTTTCCCACATTTCTGGGGAATCCCTGTGGCTCCTGCCTTGGGTGACGCACAAGGACACGGGAAGGGATGGGCAAGCACTGCCGGTCTTGGCACAGGAGGGATGGCAGAGCCGCCGGGAGCAGGAGGAGAGCGAGACCCCAGACCCTGGGGAGACTGCTCTGCTGGGGTAGTCCTGGTGAGGCGGCCTGGCTGCTCCCCAAAACCTCCCCAGCTGCCCCCCCGAAGGAGGTGCCACCTCAGGCACGCCCCAGCCTGCAATGGTGGGCTCCAGAGCTGATGGGAAGCAAGAGGAGGACTGGAATGAGGTGCTAGACCAGAAGCTCCACAGGGAAGGCCTGGGCTGGGGGCGTTCCCCGTCACCCCCCAAAACCAGACGCTGTGTCCCCGACAGTCTGTCCCCCCCCCAGCCCCCAGCAGCGCCTGCTCCATCCTTCCCACACCATGCCCCTTCCCGACACCTCACTCCCTCCCTCCCCGCTGCCCCCCACGCTCACCCCCTCCAGCCCCCTCCGGGACGCCGTGAGGCCCAGCAGGCTGGGGAGGGGGGGGGGGGGTCACTCTGCCCCCCGCTCCAGACGCACCTCGCTGCCGGGGCAGAGGCCGGACCCCCCCAGTGGGGAGCTCGTCGCCCAGATGTGGGGGCCAGGGCGCCCGCGGGGGGACCCCGGCCAAGCCGGCCGCCCAGGGCTGGCTTCCCGTCCCCAAAAGCAAACAGGCGAGCAGGGCGTCGCGTCACGTCACGTGTCCTCGCGGGCAGCGCGTTCCCCGCGGGTCTTGGCCGCGCTGCAAGAGCCGAGGCGGAGGTGGAGACTGCCAGAGACTTTGAGAAACCATGCAGAGGGGAAGGAAGCCAACGTCACCAGGGCAACGTCGCGGGGAGCGCAAAAAACAACCGCTGCGCCCCTCCGTCGGGGGAGCACCCTAGGGTGCAGCCCCCCGTGGGGACCGGGCATCCCGGGCAGAGCCCCGCGTGTCACCCCGGGGAGGAACAACGACGGCGCTCGGAGGCCCGACCCCGGGGCACGACCAAGCGCAGCGCTTCCAGGAACATGTTTGCTTTTGACTCCGCCGGGCCCGGCCAGAACAAACACATCCCGGTGATTTAGTGCGGCGTGCGGCCGGAGGGATGAGTTTACTCTGGAGGGGTCAATGCACGGTGGGAAACACACCCGGCGACACGACTGCCCCCGGGGAGATGCAGGGAACCCAGAAAGACGGGAGGGGAAAAAAAAAAAACAGCTTCTCGTTTCGCGATCCTCGAGGTGTAAACGCCATCCTCCTCCTCCTCCCCGCCATGAAAACCTGTATTTCTGCTCAGCCCTGGGAGGCAGCTGCTGGCTGGTGAGTGGCAACCTTGAACGTAAGCCGGGCATGCCCGAATTTGCTGAGAGGCTGCGGGAGATGCTGCGCTCCTCCTCCTGCCCGGCTCCATGCCAGCCCAGGGGACGATGGCTCGGAGGGGAGGAACAGGCCTGTCCCCCCCTGCGACACCAGTCACAGCAGCTCCTTCAGGCCCAGTCGTGCCCCGTTTCCTTCCCATCCTAATTTCTATGGTTTTTTTCCTCTGCTCCCTCTGAAGAACAGCCTCCCCCTGCCAAGATCAGCTCCTCCTGCCCAGGTCCCCGCCAGCCCAGGGGACAATGGCTCGGAGGGGAGGAACAGGCCTGTCCCCCCCCCGACACCAGTCACAGCAGCTCCTTCAGCCCCAGCCGTGCTCCGTTTCCTTCCCATCCTAATTTCTATGGTTTTTTCCTCTGCTCCCTCTGAAGAACAGCCTCCCCCTGCCAAGATCAGCTCCTCCTGCGCTCCTCCTCCTGCCCAGGTCCCCGCCAGCCCAGGGGACAATGGCTCGGAGAGGAGGAACAGGCCTGTCTTCCCCCCGACACCAGTCACAGCAGCTCCTTCAGGCCCAGCCATGCCCCGTTTCCTTCCCATCCTAATTTCTATGTTTTTTTCCTCTGCTCCCTCTGAAGAACAGCCTCCCCCTGCCAAGATCAGCTCCTCCTGTGCTCCTCCTCCTGCCCAGGTCCCCGCCAGCCCAGGGGACAATGGCTCAGAGGGGAGGAACAGGCCTGTGTTCCCCCCCGACACCAGTCACAGCAGCTCCTTCAGGCCCAGCCATGCCCCGTTTCCTTCCCATCCTAATTTCTATGTTTTTTTCCTCTGCTCCCTCTGAAGAACAGCCTCCCCCTGCCAAGATCAGCTCCTCCTGTGCTCCTCCTCCTGCCCAGGTCCCCGCCAGCCCAGGGGACAATGGCTCAGAGGGGAGGAACAGGCCTGTGTTCCCCCCCGACACCAGTCACAGCAGCTCCTTCAGGCCCAGCCATGCCCCGTTTCCTTCCCATCCTAATTTCTATGTTTTTTTCCTCTGCTCCCTCTGAAGAACAGCCTCCCCCTGCCAAGATCAGCTCCTCCTGTGCTCCTCCTCCTGCCCAGGTCCCCGCCAGCCCAGGGGACAATGGCTCAGAGGGGAGGAACAGGCCTGTCCCCCCCCGCCCCGGGACACCACTCACAGCAGCTCCTTCAGGCCCAGCCATGCCCCGTTTCCTTCCCATCCTAATTTCTATGGTTTTTTTCCTCTGCTCCCTCTGAAGAACAGCCTTCCCCTGCCAAGATCAGCTCCGGTAACAATAACCCGTCCGGGGCCGTCCGTGTGTCCAGCCACAGCTTCCTGCTCCGGCGCTGGACCAGCTCTCCCGGGCTGAGTGACACAGGACTAAATTTTCTTCGAGTACTGGGGAAAACTGCACTTTTAGAAGACTCTAGTGTCTGAATTCGTGAAAATATTTCCTTCATAGCCAGCCAGGCTCCGTGGGATTCAAGGTCTTGGTGTTTTTGAGCCTCTCCAGGTGTGGGGACGAGGAAGAGTGAGACCCAAGCTGCCAACGGGGTTATTTCATCCCATGAACATCACATTCAATATAATTTAGAAAAGTTCGCTGCGTTAGTTCTCTCTCTCCCTTGATGGATGTGATCATCAAATGACAGAATAATTGTCTAAATGACAATAAATTGTGGGGACGAGGAAGAGTGAGACCCAAGCTGCCAACGGGGTTATTTCATCCCATGAACATCACATTCAATATAATTTAGAAAAGTTCGCTGCGTTAGTTCTCTCTCTCCCTTGATGGATGTGATCATCAAATGACAGAATAATTGTCTAAATGACAATAAATTGCTATGGGTTTTCCCAAACCCCAACACCAGGCCACGCGGGGTTTGCTCCATCAGCAGCAGAGGGTGGGCAGCGGGGGGGGGGGACAGAGACCCCAGCAGGGCGATGGAGCTGCTTCTCCTGCGGGGACCCTCGCCCTGGGGCAGCCTGGCAGAAGCAATCGCCGCCGGTTCCAGCCCCACGGTGCCAGGGGGGCTCCGCTCTGCCCACCACAGAGGTGCCCCCCAATCTCCCCCCAGCCCAGCTGCTGTGGGGCTCCTTCTCCCACGATGGCACCCCAGGGTGGGGGGCTCCGCTCTGCCCACCACGGAGGCGCCCCCCAATCTCCCCCCAGCCCAGCTACTCCTTCTCTCAGGATGGCACCCAAGGGTGGGGGGCTCTGCTCTGCCCACCACGGAGGCGCCCCCCAATCTCCCCCCATCCTAGCTACTGTGGGGCTCCTTCTCCCAGGATGGCACCCCAGGGTGGGGGGCTCCGCTCTGCCCACCACGGAGGCACCCCCCAAATCTCCCCCCAGCCCAGCTGCTGTGGGGCTCCTTCACCCCAGGGTGGGGGGCTCCGCTCTGCCCACCATGGAGGCACCCCCCAATCTCCCCCCAGCCCAGCTACTCCTTCTCCCAGGATGGCACCCCAGGGTGGGGGGCTCCCCCCCATCGAGTGAGGGTCAGGAGATGCCACCATGGCCCCAGGCCCACCTGGCACCGGGGGCTGGAGCCCCCAGCAGCAGCGGGGCCCCCCGGGGCAGGACCGGGAGCTGCCGCCCGGGGAAACCCCGCGGTTGTGAGAGGCACCTCCGGCCCGATGGCGGAGCAGGATATGGCACCCAGAGAGGGGGGCAGCCACCCGGGGGGGGCACTCCCCTGCCCCATCCCCTGACGCCGCTTTCACTTCCTCCTCCTCCCCGGGGGCCGCTTCGCCTCCCCGGTGGGGCTGGCTGGGGGTCCCCGGGGTGGGAGGTCGGGCAGGGGGAGCGCCGGCGCTGGAGGGGCTCCCTGAGGGACCCCAGTGCTCCCAGTATGGGCTTCCTGGTTACTGAAGGAGCAATGGGAAACCGCGTCCACATCCCAGAAGCGAAAGTGGCCGCGCATCTCATGGCTGTTACTCATTAACCACCGGCACTTCCCGGCAGCAGAACGCAGCCCCCCACCCTCCGGGCCCCCCGCGCTCCCCCCGGGGCCTGGGGGGACCGTGACCACGGGAGACCCCGCTCCTGGCTGGCCCCCCCTTTGCCCTTCCCCAGTTTCCCAGCCCAGTGCCAGAGGCCGGCGGGGAAGGAGCTGGGCTGGCGGCTTGTAAACACGTCCCCCCCTGTCCCCCCCCCCCCCCCGGCAGAGATTCCCCGGGGTTTTCTCATCAGGGAAAGATGCTCAGAGACTTTCCGCCAGCGCTTGACGCTGAGGACACCTGGGCCCTGCTCTAGCTCTGCCCCTGAGGTCTCGCCCCCTGAGACTCTGCTGCCTCCCCACACAACTCAGTTTACTGGGGGGCACTGGGGGGGCCACCGCTGCTGGTGCTCTCTGGCCGAGGCCAAGGTGAGGGCACGGGACCCCCGTCCCACCCTCCGGTGGGATGCTGCTGGTGGACACGGTGGCAGGGGGTGGCCGTAGCCGGCCACTCTCTGGCAGTGAAAGCTCTTGTGATTCAGAGGAAGAGGAGCGGGGCCTTCCCCCGCTGACCCAGCCCAGCGTGACTCACGGCGCGGCGCGGCCCGGCTGGATTTAGCCCCAGCTCCCACCCCAGGAGTGGGGTCCCGTTTGCGGGGACAGGGGAGGGGTTGTCCAGCGCTCTCCAGCACAGCCCCCACCCCCATGGGTGCCCTTCACTCTGCCCCCACGCACCCTTCACCCGGGGATGGTGGGGTGACCGGGGTGACCGGCCTGGTCTCGGGGGTGCGCGTGGTGTTGGGGGGCGGGTGCTCGCTGCAGTGGGGGGCTCATTGCATGAGGGGTGACACTTGGGGGGGGCTCACTGTGCAGCCACATCCCCACGGGCACCCAGCAGCCCCCGACTTTGGGCTGCAAGCCTGGAAGCCCCGCTGGGCACGGGCTGGACACCGGCCCCGGGCTGCCCCCCCACCTGAGCGGCCACGGGCAGCCCCACCGTCCGGTGGCCCGTGTCACCCCCCACC